CTAAGTAGTATTGCTCGAGCTTCATAAAAGTCTATCATAAAATCAAATTGTAAAAAAAAATAATAAAAAATAAAAAATAAAAAATTAATAAATTAATAAAAATTATTAATTATAATTATAATGAATAAAAATTAAAAATAATTTACCATCTAAAGGTAATTGACCCAAAATCTTTTCGGCCTTATAATGAGTTGATTCATCCAAAAATTTCAATAATTTTTTATTCGTAGCATCAATTAATTCCGAGTGACCTTTATTTTAATCAATTAATTAAACATTCAAAATATTCGAATCATATTATGAAGAAACAAATTACAATTTCATTAAATAAATTAATAAATAAAATAAATAATTACTTACTTTGTTGATCCCGTGATGTTAATTGTTGAACTTTATTCAAATATGTTGTAATTAATAGATTATGATAGTTCGGAGTCTGATCTCCCAATTCGTATATAATATGTTCTAAATATATAATGCAAAGATCATACGAAAATCTTTCAAGATATCCCAACACCTTGTCGCGTGGTAAATTTTCAACTTCGAGGTGATCTTCTATAAAAATCTAAAAATAAAATCAATCAAACATTTGATATATCTAATACAATTAAAATTAACAAATTCAATGACTTTAAAATAAATATATAAATTGATATAAAATAAATTATAGTTAAATATATTATTTACATCCATTCCATCTTCTGGATTAGTTTCTAAAACCCATGTTGCATATTCTAATATTAAATCAAAATGATCCATTCCCAACTTTTGTAAATAAAGAATAGTATGAATAGTTCCTGTCATTGGTCCTTCGTTTGATTGTCCAAGTCTAAACATATTAATGAAAATAGATTAACGAGAATATAATAAATAGATAAATAATATAGGTAAATATCATAATGACTTACTTCTTTAATAAATCAAGCGATTTACGATGTAATCCTTTTCCTTTATATAAATCGACCAGTTCTCTATATTTCTAATATTTGATTTAAATTTAATAATAATGAATTGATAAAAAAAAAAAAATCCCGAGATAAAGATTAAATCCAACCCAACCAATATACCTTACGATCAAGTAAAAGACCTTCACTTTCTTCTACATTACAATGATTTGGCACTCGAAGAAGTGGTCCAACTAATGACTCATTTATAACCATATATGACTTTAATAGTGTCGTGTCTACTAATTCTGCAAATTCTAATAACTTATTGAAATTCCCATTAATGTGATTTGATGACTTTAATATCTTTGAAATTTTTTGTCTTCGGTCCGTTAGGAATCTTATCAATGCTGATACTGCATCTTCCAATAATTTTCCTTCTATGATAATAATTATAATTACAAAGAAACAAGAATATTGATTAATTTTTAAATAAAATAAATAAATTTTAAATAAATAAATAAATGGATTCTAACCTACCAAGGAAAATTTTTTGTTCTGTTTCTGTTTCTTTTACGCCATTTTCGTTTTGTTTTAATCCAACATCTGCTTCAGATGCAGAATCAGTAGCAGAAGAATCCGTAGCGGAATAACCATTCTCATGTTCTTCAACCACATTTCCGAGAATTTGTGCAGATTTTTCTTCAGTAGTCTTTACATCAGAATTTTTATTAGTATCATGATGATAATTTGCATCCGCATGAAGATCTCCTGATATAGAGGTGGGATATAATGCCACAACTTCTGCTGGTTCAGTTTCCAATTCTTGAAAAATAGTAATCGCTTCATCAAATTTCTGTTGTTGGAAAAGATGATGCGCATAAAGCCTTCGAATTTCAAAAATTTTTGCTTCCTAAAAATAAATAAATTAATTAATTTTAATAAATAAATTAATAAATAAATAAATCAATTTAATAAATAAAAAAATTAATAAATAAATAAATTTAAATAAGAATAACGTAGATATATATGTAATATATTTTTACCTTATCATCAAGTAAAATTGGTTCAATTTGTTCGGCTAAACTTATAGCTTCCTCGAATTGAAGTTTCTCAATCAATTGATCTATCTATTCGTTGATCCCAAATCAATAATAAAAATGTATTATATCGAATTCGATGATTAAATTTTAACATTTTCTCTATATAATGCTAAAAAAAAAAAAAAAACTATCATTCTTACCTGTTTCTCGAAATTCAGAGGAGTAAACCTCCAAACACTGCTATAACTAGCAACATATAAATATTTTCCTTGATTAATAATTCTTGCTTGAGGCAATTCAACAGTCTGAACTAAAGACTGAGTCATTATATTTCTAACTTCCACATGCTTTGGTAGGATCGCAATGAGATATGGATAAGAATATCCTTGAATATTAAGGATAATAAGTAAGCAATAAAATTCAAATTATATTATTATTTAGAATAAATTAATTATATTTAATATTTATACCTATTTCTTCGGGTGTTCCGGTCCAATCTATTCCAGCTTTACGAGTAGGATTACCATCGAGTCCCACAAAGATGCTTACATCTAAAAGATAGATAGATAGATATATTATTATTATTATTATTATTATATTATATAAAAAATTAATAATAATTAGAATCATTTTAAAATAATTTTAAAATAAATAAATAAATGAATTATTTTGGATTCTTACTATCTTTAGCCAAAAGAATTTCATCATTCGGTAGTTTTGTCACCATAGGTTTGCTAACCTTGGCTCCTATCATTCCCATATAACTAAAGGATGTACTACTAGGCGTACTGGATGGTGCAAATAGTTCGGTGAGCGCGCCAGTGTTGACATCCATTAGTGCATATTCATTAGCCAACCCAAGACATATTTTGCTAGAGCTAACCCATGCCATTGTTCGAACCTTATCCGGGGGTAAAAGTTCCTATAAAATTATTTATTATTATTATTATTATTATTATTATTAATGATTATCATGATTATCATGATTATCATGAAAAATAGAAAATTGAAATTAAAAATTATTTTAACTTTATTTTTTTTTAATTACCTTTGTATCTTTAAATTCTGTATCTTTCCACGTGAAGACAAGCAATTTTTTTTTCACGGCAACTGCTAAACGTGTTATTATCATTGGAATTTTATTTTCATTGATTTCAATATGTGTATCAATTGCGAATAGATTGGCACCACGTGTCTTTGGCAATTGTTCTTGTAATTTTAGAGTACTTAAATCGAAAATATTTATACAGCCATCTTACATATAAATTCGTATAAATTTTAAGTAGATAATTAATTAAGTATTAATGAATAAATAAAATATATATATATTTCTTTTTATTTCCTTTTGAAAATGTGATGATTGTTTTTGAGTACCAGAAAGTGAAATCAAAACTCCAATTTCTTTGATTATATCTAATTGGTCAATTGGTTTTTTTGAAAAATTCTTGTGTGTTTCGATCAAGGTAACAGTTATTGGTTCGTCATCTAAAAAAAAAGATTAATGACATGATTTAAACTACAAAAACAACCAAGATAGATCAAAATAAAGTAATCATACCTGAAGGTTCGTTTACCTCGTATATTAACAAGACCCCAGTATTAGTTCCTATAAATAACTTTTGGCCTGTAGATTTTTTTTGAAAAATAAAAAACAATTATTTGAATAACTGTAATAAAATAATATAATATAATAGAAACTTTTGAATGCAATACCATAAGCGAAAATAGACTCAATTTTATGTTGTAATTTGTCTAATGCGACAGAAACTTTAAAAGCTTCGTGCATTTTAGTAGTTAACCTATGATCTGGAAATGTAAAATAGGTTGAGTTTAGAAAGAAAGAAAAAAAAAGGAGCGGCTAAACCCGGTTTTAATGGGTATATAAGGTGTGATTTCTAGTGTAAAGAGTATATGACTGTAAAAGACAAGTTTTGTTTGCATTCGATACGGCGGAAGATCTATATACAGTGGTGTGCAAAAAAAATGGCAATTTTTTTAAAAATTGATCATCAAGTGTAACTAACTCAATTTTGGTC